ATGAGCAATTTTAAGTTTTTTTCATAGAGAAACAGTAAAACCCTGGTATTGTTCTAATTCAACGTAAACTTTTTAAAGATTTGTATTAAAAGCCCAAAGATGTAATCTGTCTGACTTACTCTAACATACTCGGTTTTTTAAAGTAGTTTAGCTTAAAGCTGTACTGCTAAGTTCTTTTAAACATTGAACTATTGTTAAAAAAACATGCATAATTCACTTTTTCTTACTTTTTAGGCACAGTGTTCAAACCTACATAATTAATGGTTGATGGAATATAATAAATTAATAGCTTATTCCCTATATGGGGAATTCGCTAAAAAAGGTCTAGTTTGATTTAACATTTTCTTCAGATGAACACAGTTAATTGAAACCATAACTGTAATTTCAAGATTTCAACCAATAAAACCCAAATAAGCCCTTTCATCAATTTGAAGAATTGTAATTAAAGCAGTTTCGATTTCAGCAAATGAATCATTGAGTAGTTTTAATTAAACTGGATCTTACTGTTTACTGATTCTAAACCTTCCAATCAATGTTAAGAGTGTTCTACATTGTAAGCATTGCTAAGTTTAACATGTACTGTTTACATACTTTAAGAAAAACTTTAGTAACTAGTTTATTACTATCATAAGTTTAAGATTTTTTTAGTAATCTAGTTCTTTTGGTATATTCAGTAGGGCTGATTTGGAAAAGGTAAAACTTGTTATTATTCACTGTTTTGTTTACCAAGTGTTTTTCTTTGTTTTAAAAATGTAAAATGTATATTGTGCGAGTTGCCCTCGAAGAGCAGTTTTTGTTTCCAATTTATGTTCAACCAGTTACTGTATACCGATTACCAAAAAATTGTATCCTGCTATTATATAAATGGTGTGATGATCCTTAAATCTAGTTCAACTGTATCAACTGTTGTAGTTTGCTTGTTTATGAACATATTTTGATTGATTTTGGAAAATACTTTTATTTCTTACTAAACTATTATCATTTTATAAAAAAAATCTTTTTTACCCTCCCTGTTGCAGCAAACCTAAGTACTCGTCAAACTAATTCTATTTAAATAGGAAATAAATGTGCTATTTTTATGGAGGCATTTTAGTGTAGATCCAATCAGGTTAATGGAAATTCGCTTAGTCTACAGGTTTGCTGCGGCGGGGGTATTTTTTAACTAAAACCACAGAAAACGTACTACTATAACCCAGAATGCCAACCGCATGGTAAAAAGCGTTAAGCGGTTTGAGAGAGCTTTGCCTGTCAATCCGTAGGCAGCGCCACCAGCGTTGCCATGCAATAGCATAGCAACGCTGGTGGCGCTGCCTACGGATTGACAGGCAAAGCTCTCTCAAAACGCTTAATGCTTTTTACCATGCGGTTGGCATTCTGGGTTATAGTAGTACGTTTTCTGTGCTAAAACTGTAGATTAATTCAAGTGATATTTAAATTGGTGAGCTAACAATAAATCAATCAATACAAAATACACTCATTCCTTAGATTTAAACAAAGTTTGATAAGACTGTTTGGGTAGCTGAGTGGTTATAGTGCCTACCTAACAATCAGAAGGGCGCTGGTTCGATCCTGAAAAAGTCAGTAGCTTTTTTATGTTTTGAAACTGGAACTGGACCCAACTCTTCCTCATCATTGTGCTTCAAATAAATTATCCTGGCTAAAATAACAGCTGATCTGTAATGTGCTGCTTAGTCAGTAAAAGGCATTACTTCTCACACCATTCTCCACCATTTCTCAAATTGATAAACTATGGTATGGTGTTATATGCATTATTAATTTGTAAATAATCTTTGATGACAATTGTTTTGCAGAACACTGTGACTTTTTCGTGAGTAATTTTATTGCAAGCAACATTTTGATATGAAAAACTATGCCAAGCCTATCTTTTAAATTAGTTTATAGCTACTACATTTTTCCCCACACAAGCAATACTGGATCAAGAACTATATTTTGCACTTGAAACCTCCTTCCCTTGAATGATTCCCGAATTTCAATTGCCTAACAGTGTAGTAGGGTAGGAGGCAGATGGATCCACAAACTTTTTCAATCTATTCAAACTTTTAAAAGTTTAATGAAAAGTCAAGTACCCTGTCAAACTTTAATCTTGTGATCGAACCCAGTTTGACTTTTAATAAGCTTTATTGGCAGCGTAAGAATCGGAGATGCCGCAGTATACGTTGTTAGATGATTATCTCAAGCGCTAAAGAAATTGTTATCTATATCTTAAAAGAAAAACTATGTATGTACCTTATGAACTCCAAAACCGCTTGACGGATTGTAATTAAACTTTAAGGCATTATTCAAGGATGGTTTGTGTGAAGTTTGGAGCAGATCCGTCAAAAGGGCTCCGCCCCAGAGGGTTTTAAGGGGTCCTATGTCAGACTTTTGGAACTACAATGTTTACAAATAAATATAATTTAAAAACAGATGTTTTCTTTCACCAACTTTTGGTTTGAATAATCACAACATTCTGTATTAGTGATGATTTGGAATAGTACCACAATATTTCCACAGAATGCAGCACAGAAAACTATTTAACTTTTAGATAAATCCAAATATATTAAACCCCAATCGCAGCACACCTGTGCACTCAACAATGTTTAAATTCTTCCCTACTGTATTAAATATGTAAACATAAAAAGTAAAAGCCTTTATCAAAGTAAAAACTTATATTCAAACGCCTAATAAATATATAAAGATATAGATTGTAAAGAACTATCTATATCTATAAAAGAGGAACTATGTATGTATATATATATATGTGTATATACGTTATGGACTCCGAAACCGCTCGACAGATTGTAATGAAACTATCAGGCATTATTAAGCATCTTTCAAGGATGGTTTGAGTGAAGTTTGGTGCAGATCCGTCAAAAGGGCTCTGCCCCAGAGGGTTTTAAGTGGGCCAATGTCAGACTTTTTGATCTAGAATGTTTACAAATAAATATAATTTAAAAGCAGATGTTTACTTTCACCAACTGTTTTGTACGTTTGAATAACTACAACATTCTGTATTAGCATTAGTCATGATTTGAAATAGTGCCACAGTGTTTCTACAGATTGCAGCACAGAAAGCTATTTTACTTTTGAATAAGTCCAAATGTACGTATTAAACCCCAATCGCAGCACATCTGTGCACTTAACAACGTTTAAATTCTCCAATGTTAAATATTAAAACATAAAAACCTTTATAAAAGTACTGTATTATAAACAATAAAAGGGATGACTTTTTTAAATGTATGACAACAGCTAATTTGCAACCAAAAGGTGAGTGAGCGTAGCGAACGAACATCAACCTGGAGGCGAGTAAGCGTAGCGAACGAGCTAACCTGAAAACAAGTGAGCGCAGCGAACGATTTCCAACCTGAAGGTGAGTGAGCGTAACGAACGAACTTCAACCAGGACGTGATTGAGCCATGTGAATACTTATGAAGTTAAGCGGGGCAAAGCCCGCGGGTACAGCTAGTCATCTATATATTTAATACGCTAGGCATATTTTTGTCATAATTGTTTTGGAGTGGTGGTGCTACCGATCACCATGTTCAAGGTGTCGTTAGAAAGGTCTTAGCATGTAGTTTTGCCATCAAACAAAAAAAACTTTGGAATTCCATCAGGGCTCTGCCCAGTGGCCTTCAAAGTTCCCATGTTATTCTTAGGGAGAAAATGTTTGTTTATATTTGATCAGATGAATACTTTAAAATTGACACTAATATTTGAAACAGATGGTTATACTAAAATTTTGCACAAAATCAAAACATAACCAAAAAAACGTTCGACATAATGGAGACTATAAGACTTTGACCAGGAAGGCAAATAGGAAGAGGCCGACGAACTTTAACTGGTAGACACGAACGAAATACAAATAATACTATTGTCGTTGATAGCCGAATCCAGCAAGCACCCGTCCATTTTGGGTTTAAGTGTGCTCTCCAACAGTCGCCTGAAGATTTCACATTCAATTTATGACTGTTGGATAATCGCTGCATAAGCTGTTGATTTTGGAAGACAAGGAGGAGGGTAGGAATAATTTGGAAACAGAAGAGAGGAGATATTAGATGAGTGGAAAATGCGTTGGGAGCACAGTGTTTTATGTTAACGTTTTAAGGGTAAACCTTCGTATACCTAACATCAGAAAGAGACTGGAACAAGATTGGGAGATGGGTCATTATGAAACGCAGTTTGTCACAGGACATTGAAAATTTCAAGGCGATTTTGTGAAGATTTCACATGGTGGAAGAGGAAGTATGTAGATGTGGAGAAATAAAAAACACGAGTCACGTATTTATAAATTGTTCACTTCAGGAGACAAATAGGAGAGAACAGGAATAAGTCTTGGATAAGATGGGCCTAGAGATGAGAAAATAAAACATGATGAGTGACAAGGAAGCAATTGAGACGTTTAGAAAAGTAGCTAGGGAAATAGGAAAAGACAAGAGAAAAAGGGATGAAAACTTGCCCATGAAGGGGAGAGGAAAGGTTAGAGCGAATCTCAATGATTCATATCGCTCAGGGCGGTATGGGGAAGGGAGTCGTGCTGGCTTTTGGACACATAATGTGTCTGGAAACCTAATGCAGCTATGAGTAAGGCTATTTGTAGAAAACACTATTTAGAATAAATGTTGATTATATCGATATATTATGTACATCTTTAGTATTGCCATAATCTTTAAGTCGAATATTTTTAAGTCATCATAAATTATGACTGTTATTCGTTTTAAAATTACGTCTGTTATACTTAACATTGCTCGAATTCGAGCAACAGGTACACTAGTTATCATTTAAAGTAATAGTTGTTAGCGCAGCAACGCGCGCCGGGTAACTGCTAGTTGAATGAAATGAATTAGTAGCTTATCTTACCAATACAATTTATGCAAAAGAATAACACAGGGTAACTTAAATATCAAGTTAGATATGGAGTTTAAGGCATGTATAGAAATTATTACACAAACTAAAATAATGTTTTTTTTTAATTTAAAATGCATATTTATTTACAAGTTGTTCCTAAATAAATAACTTATTTATTTACAAAAAGTAGATCATTCTAAAACAAATGTCCACACATTTTTACAAAATATCAATTTTGTAAATAAAACTTCCACTTCAGATCAAACTTGAACTACAGTGGGATATTCTTCGTCAAGTTGTCTAAACTCATAAGAAAACTTATTTCTTTCTGCATAGCAGCCAAGTTCATTGGCTAGAAGAGCCTAAAAAACATAGAAATGACTTTAATAACACATTTGTTGCACAATTTTTACAAAAACATTTCCAAACAGATCCATGTTTCACACAAACGACTCACATTTTTTCCAACTTGGTCTTGTCAGCCAGGTTGGCAAACACATTATAATTTCATAATGATGTTATTTGGTCCAGGATCACTTCTTGAAAATTAAAATGGTATAAGATTACCTGTTTCTGTCTATGATCCTAATTTGTAGTATGAGCTACCGGTTTCGAGGTTATAACCTCATCATCAGGCTCTTGTCACTCTTGCGAGGTCGTCGAGTTTTACGAACACACAAAACACTGACATTTAAATAAATAAAAACATTGACGGATACGATACGATACGAATACTATTTAACATAAAATCTGGAACTAGTTCCCACACGACGCGGCACGGGCAAACGTTTTGTCATGACTGGGTGGTTTGTCATCTAACATTATAATTGCTAGATAAAACAAGTTTATAAATTAAAATTACCTTTCTGCTCTCTTAACAACCATTATTTCAGTTTATACAACTTTTAAGTTTTAGTGAATTCCTCTATGGGGAAGTAGCTATTAAGAATTGATATAGTAAAATGGTTTTTTTTTTAGGAAAACTGTGGTGTTGTTAACTTGAATTGGCAATATAACTTAATCATTACATGAGCTTTTTTGGCAAAGGACTAATCGGTAGGACAACATGAGGTAAAAAAGACAAACCTGTAAATACACAGCTTCCTTTGCCTTGGTGTATGCCTCCATGTGCAGAAAGTTGTCTTTGACTTTGGTAAGAAGACGGATTGCATCTGCGATTACTTCCCTCCGAAACTCCGGTTCTCCCGACGCTACTGATGCAACCTTCACAACAATGCTGTGGGTTAACAAACTACAGGGGTGCCCACAAGGGGGGGCTGTGACGCAGACTGCGTCATTGAAATTCTTGGGGGGGGTTCCAAAAATTCAAATGGGGGGGGGGCTAAAGTTAATTGCAACAGTGTTCAACGTGACAACAATCAAAAATATATTACAAAGTCACTAGATAGAAAGTTGATTAATTAATGATAATAGTTATATTATTGAATTCAATTAGTTAAAATAGGATTTTAGGATAGTTTAGGATTCGTGTAGGAATTTATTATTCAAGATTAGCAAGACGTGAGATCTAAGGCCCCGGCCACACGAGGCGAATTTAAGCCGCGCGGCTTATCTTCGCGCGAAGTTAAGCCGCGCGAAGTGCCTGGCCACACGGGGCGGATGAACCGCTTCCTGTTGGGGTTTCCTAGTATGAGTACTCTATTAAAACATAGTTCAGTTCACTCTTTTTAGTCATGGGCGAAACACTTATGTTAGTTTGTGCATTAAAAGCGTGTGGTGATCTGGAACGTTAACATAAATCATTGGGTCCATCCCTTCATAACGGAAAAAAAAATTTTTTGTGTTCCAAACCTTTTACGAGCACATGCGAAACCATAGTTCGGAGTTCATATGTATCAAACATTGTTTGAACACCACACAACCGGTAAAAAATACACAAAACAAACTCAAAAACCACTGGAAATGTCCGAAGAATATCCCCAATAAGCGCGGCTGCCGCGCGGTCGAACCGTATCGTGTGGCCACTCTCATAAGACTACGTGTGTCATCCCCTCCAACGCGGCTTAACTTCGCGCGGTCGGGGGACGACATGTTGCGGCTCAACCGCACATGCGGCTAAACTTCGCCTCGTGTGGCCACTCTCATTTGATTCAATGTGTTGTCGAACCCCTTAACTTCGCGCGGCTTAACTTCGCGCGGTTAAACCGCCTCGTGTGGCCGGGGCCTAAGAGGGAGGGCACGGAATGGCTCAACTGCTGAGATAGATAAAGATAACGCGTGGTACAGACACGTACAGCTACACCGCGACTCAGCACAGAACGCTTTGTTGACATAAAGCTCGTTAAAATACAATCAAGTAGCATAGGCTATTTGATTGTAATTATTACTTAATACTTTACACTATTGTGTAGATACTCGATTACCTGAGTTAATAGTGGGGGGGGGGGGTAATGAAAAATACGGTTAATCCAATATAGTATAAAAACAATTTTCATTTTTATCAACGAAATTCAATATTGCACAATCATTATTATTGTGCAATAATGACATTTCAAATAACTTATCTTGGTCCAGTTGTACAAATGGCAACGTTTAAAATTATAGCTCACTCAAACTCAACTAATAACTAGCCAAACACTGTATTGCTATAAATAACGTAAATATGCTATGCTCATGATAGACAGATAGGTAGGTAGGTGCTGTATCACAACATAGGAATTAATAGATAAGTAATACAAAAGTGTAAAATTATATTTAGAGATAATAAAAACACTCTTAAAAAGAATGTAACTAGAACAACTTTTGTTATTATTTTTATTTTTTCTTCTGTTCTTTCTTAGGGTTCTCTTCAATTCATACACAAATTCAACAAGTCGCCATATTTACTCATTGCCCAATCACAGCCTTACTAAAGTTAGGTACTATGGTTACTAATCACAGTTTACTAATCATTATATCGTCATCATTCCCCAGCTGTTGTATCTGAAATCTGTTGTAACATAGCGCACAGCAGACAGAAGTGTAAAACGGAGCAGACGATTGTTGGCGCAAGCGTTAAAGTTGAAGTCATTTTTCCATTTCATTTTCTGTGATGTTTCGATAACAGAGGGGGTCGTTATATGAAGAGAAAGACGCTGACAATTCGTTAAGCAGAGGTTACAAACACTATTTAGATATTCTGGAAATAAAAACTTCCTTAAATTGAGGTGACTTATAAAACTCTTAATTTTATTTACATAGAAAGATAATTTTTCCAGTCCTGTAGCCTACAACACTGATTCACGGTCTTTTCCCGGTAATCAAAACTCAAGTTCAACTTGATACACACAGAATCTCCGGTTCCCGACCTGGATGATGGCTATAGTTATTTACAGTAATTTAATTTATAGTTACATTTTAGTACCCGTGATAAATCAAATCCGTTATGTAAGCAACACGGTTATTAATCTCCCTTGTTTTTGGATTTGGTTACCAACGTGATCGGAAATGGTTTCAAACGTTATCTGAAATGGTTAGGGCCACGATTACTAGAAAAATACCGGTATGGATCATAAACATAAACAAATGACGTTTTTGGCCCGAAAATAAACATTATTTAACATTGCTTAAATGGAACTGCCAAATCATATGTTCAATGCTATTAGTATAGGATTCGGGCCAACAACGTCATTTTGTTTATGTTTATGATCCATACCGGTATTTGTCTAGTAATCGTGGTTAGGGCCTACACAGTATTCGTAAACAACATTTATGTAAACATATAAGTGACAGCTAGAAAAAGGAATCTTTATCAAAACAGCTTTTCGTAATTTCATATATGACGTGTTCTCTTAACAGATTATTAGTATTTCATAAATGACGTATGTAGTAAACATGGAGAAAAAAACTTTAAAAAACCACACAAAATTGGGTTTTTGATCGTCCGTTATTTTATTTCCGAAATAGTGAGGCCATATTTTAATGGCTAAGGACACTCTCGCCAATCCTGTGAATACAAACCATTAGAATCATAATCGGTACTCTAGTTTTCTTTAAGAGTAGGCTGCGTAAAATGCCTTCTGGGCCGGACATAAATTAAGATTAGACACGTTTCAACTTCAGTAAAACGTAAAAATAACCCAACATATGTATAATTCTGAGCAATATATACAGACAAAACTATAACTTTATTTATATATATTAACTGGGTTTGAATTTTCAATATCAAAAAAATGTATAAAACTTCTTTTAGTTTTACAAATAATGCTGGGCGGGGGAATACTGTTTGACATTTTTTGTGTACCTCATTTATGGGGGGGGCTGGTGCTCAATTGGGGGGGGGGGTGCGTCATGAGTCTAGGGGGGGATGGGCACCCCTGCAAACTAAAATATAAATTTGCAGATTCTGTAAACTTGCACTTAAAATCTCTAATTTCCAAATAAGGACACAGTTTTTTAGATTATTTGGACATAAGTAGAGGGCTAACATGAGTAAAGAATATTATTTTAAATAAACTGAAAAAATAAACTGAAAAAAATATATGTATTGGGCAAACACAAAAGAATACATAAATCAACTAGAGGTTAGTAGCTGGTTGTGTATTTATTTAATATTTAGAGTGTACTTTAAAGAATAAATCCAAAACTGGTTAAGATAAATTGTTAAGAGTCCTTGGAGGCTGGCGGTCATCTCGGATAATTTTAAACAGCTGCTGAAGAGTTAATCATCATCCAAAAATAGTTTTTCAAACACCAAAGAAGTGATTATAATTTAAATGTCTGGTATACTATGAGATTAAAAATTGTCTTTGTTGTTTTAAATTGATTTCCAAGGGAGTTCATGGAAGCCAACGGCTAAATTGGATTTGTCCGTCATAAGAGCAATGTTAATTTCGTTATTTTTAAACAGCCACTGAGGAGTTATTTACCATCTCAAAATATTTTTTTCAAATACCAAAGTAATTGTAATTTAAATATCTAGTATACTATGAGATTACAAATTTTCTTAAATTTTATTTATTTTCATTTTTTAAATTGTTTTATGACTTAGAACTAGAATGTATAGGCTCCAATGACTCTTAAGGAACTTCCACTGCTTGATTTCTATTTCATTACCATAAGGAATATGAGCCTGGCACTAAAAAATAGTACAGCAGGGAAGGAAACGGTAACTCGGCTTCTTTGCTCCACAGTTGCCTTGAGCGCCCCACTAGTACCAGTTCCTTAGTGAAATCGATAAGTTGATGAGTATCAAAGGAATATGATCCAGGATTAGAGATAGGAGAACCCAAGTGAACAAACATGTGTTTACAATATGTAGGTTATGTTACCTGTTGTGATCTTGTTCTTGTGGTTAGACTACCACTGTTTAGAAGACTATGTCTTCATTGTCAAGTCTACGTGGACATTAAGCGTCACCAATCATTACTATTGTAATAATCATAGTGATTCAGAAGCTATGTACGCCACAATGAAACAGGTTTTTGTTCATAATATTTACCTTGCACTGAACAAACAACATGATTGCTGAAGCCTGGTCGTAATGTCCACCATGTGAGAGAACTACAAGGAGCGACTGATCCATCAGCTTGAGAGCTTGGTTGGGGAGGTTCATCTGCAACTGAACATGGACTAGGGTTATAACATCGTGATTCAGGAAAAATTACACTTTCTATAACTGTTTATGCGTTGCAGCTACCATGTTACTGTATGTCCACAGTTTACTTACAACAAAGTAGGCAAAAGATGAAAGAGAAAGAGTGCACCTTTGACCCTTACTTTTACTTGTTTTTTTGTTTCAGCCTAGTTTTTTAATGTTTAGTGGATGTGCCGGGCCGAGACGCTAAGCACTAGACTAGCATCACCCAAAAATCACTCACTCATTCACTTGCCTCTCTCGTACCAAAGGAGGATTATGATAATGATAGGTCAATCATTAGTTCTTGTCGAGCAACAAGACATGCTGTGAATATCAAATCTGTACTCTGGATTGGTTAGGATGATATGCATCATGAGGGTGGCAGACAGTCTATCCCCATCAAACAAACAAATGAGTGACAGATGCTCAGAGCAGTAAAGGTAGTAAATTTTACCATGTAGGCTATGTAATTCCTGAAAAATATTTTTTTCAAAACTATATTATTTTTTGCTACATGGTTGAACTAAAAGTCTGTATTTTATGTTTACCTGAACATAAGCCAATTGCATGGCGACCAAAGCAGTCAGATAGTCCAGGTAATGATAGTTAGCGATGGACAGAGCAGCAGTCAGTATGCACACAGCAGCGGACTGACTAGCTCTAGCAGCTAGCAGAAGAGCTCTAACTCTCACTGAGGGACACAAGGAAGGCCCTCCATCTAGCACTGTAGTCAATGCTGCTATGGCACCTACACTGTCTCCCTTGCACATGAGTAGCTCTCCCTCTCTGTAACATCAACACTATGTTCAAGGTTGCCACTCAAACTTCAAAACTAATTTAATGGTTGGGTTTGATAGCGACACAGCAAGTGTTTTCAGCAATGTCACACCATGTAGTGGGGCAGCCTAGTGACACCCAGGTAAGCTGGGTTATCCTTGCGCTTTACATTTGGCAAGAGATGTGTACCGGTCGGGAGTAAAGTCCAAGGGTCTCCAGAAGTATCGTTGCCAACACTACTCTAAAAAGGGAGAGTAGGCCCTAACGAGGACGGGAAGATAAAATAAAATAATAAATATAATGCTGGAAAAACTTGAGTTTAAGGTTTATATGGCTATCAGATAGGTACCAACGAGTTTAAGCAATGATGTGGACAGTACAATGGGTGAAGCGCGAATAATACCTAGATGACAATGTCCGCGTGCCACCCTCCCTCTTCCAATATGAGATCAAGTAACTTTAACGTACGTCTCTTTTTTCTTAACACTTGAATTGACGTCACGTTATTCACCATTAGATAAACATAAAAGGCTAAAAAAGAACTAAGACAACTGTTACAACATAACTAAAATACAAAAAGCAAAAAAAACTAAAGATTCCAATTAATTGATAATGTAAGGTCTTTCCTTAGCAATCCTATTATTGTATGTAATATCCGATATTAATTTCGGACCCGAAGGTCCATCTTCAGTTGGAGTCTAGGTAGACCAAATATTTATAATAGATTCCACCTGATGATTTTGACAGTTGCCGGCAACGTGTTCCCTGACTAAATTGAGGTTATCCCACACTTTTAAAAACCTTGGTTTTTTGCCCCTAATCTTTGTACCATATTTGAGTCGACTGTTATTTGTAATGTGTTAAATGTTAATAGCCTATACTATCTATGAAACCCATCAGGTGGATTCTACAGCTACTACAGTAAACCTTCAATAGTTTGACACTCCTTGTAGTTCGACACGGGCTGAGGCTACCCATCCAAACATTAGCGATCAATACTTTGTTTTGACACGATCGCCGGTCAATGACCAGGACCAGTTCTTTCCAGTTAACAGAGTGAAAAACAATCAATGATCACAAAATATTTTGTCCAGTGATATTTAATGGTTACTATTGTGATCTAAGTTGACTTGAGCATTAATTTGTCATTTATTGACTTGAGACTAATGAACAGTGAAATAAGCTTTTTTGTATTTAATAAATTTGGGTGATTTCATTTTTATAGAAAATTTGTATATTAAACTCCATTTACACCCTATAGTTCGACACCCATATATATTTGGTCTACCTAGACTCCGACTGAAGATGGACTTTAGGGTCCTTTAGGGTGCAGGCAGCAAAGCACAATCAGATAGTAGTTGTTGTGTTATTGAATGATTTGGTCATTTTCATATTCATTTCATCAAAGCATCAGTCAATCAGCAAAAATTCAGAAAAATTTAGATTTTGACTGATTGATTTAAATAACTGGAATCTCATCTAGAGAATTAAGTAATCTACTAATTTAAGAGTGGCTTCACTAACCTTAGCAGAGCTTCCCACTTGTTGAGTGTGGCCATTTGTCTGACAGCGGTGTGAGCCGCATGCCACTGTCCTCGGTAGAGACTGCGAGTGAAGTACAACACTTGCTCACTCAGCTGCCACGAGGAGGAGTTAGGGTACCTCTCTCTGGCATGGTCCACCACCACCATCGCCAGATCATACTCTCCCTGCAAAACATTGATTCAGGATTAAGTGCTCATAAAAAAGGAAACTTATTACACCAAGCTAAGGAAACGTACAGTAGCAGAAAGGTAGATAAAAATCTAATCTGAATATTGTATGTATCTAGCAAAAGTATCTGTGGTCATCAATGGCAAGACATGTGATCTAATAATTATCTGTAACGTGTGACATTTGATCTGTAATGTTGCTTTTAGAATTACAAAACTGACAAGGTCTCATTACCAATTGAAATTTCAACATATGAACACTTTTGAAATTTCACACTCTCAAAGGGTAGTCTGAATTCAATATTCTACATTTAATGTAGAATATTGCATTTGTGAATGTCATCTTAATCGTTATGAAAGTCATATATTTAATTTTTCCAAACCATGTTCTTAAACAAAACAGAAACATAAGATAAAAATGCAACAACAATTATTGGTATAAGTATAAGGTTTAGTGAGCAATTTTGTCCACAAAAAAGGAAAGGAAATCAATGTTGATTACAGGTCCAGATCAGCTTCTCTGAGAAACTCATTATCAAAATCAAGCACTTGATATCTAACCGTCAAAACCTTTTTATTTGGGATTTATGAAAGCAGAGCACCCGTCCTTCGTACGGGGTTGACATATAAGTATAAAATGCTTATTGCAGTTATACTCAAGCTTTGTGTTTGCAATGGGGGCAGAACAGTTTGTTAAAATTTTGTTCATAAATTTACAGTATGATATAGTATAGGTAACACATCTACTATTGCCATAATGTTCTACCACTGCACCTAAACAATAGAAAAAAATAAATTATCAAACACTCGCACGATATCACAAATTATTGATTAAATTAAAAACTCAAACCTAACGGTAAACAATCCTACTTTGACAGTTTTCATTGTGTATCACAGCTTTTTGTTGCTGCTTAGTTCAAATTAGCTGTTGTCATATATGCAAAAACAAAATAATAATAGTGCTGCACCCTGTTGGGAAACCTTATAACTTTTTAATGCTATTGCATATTATAGTACCAACTTGTAAAGTTGAAACAGCTGACTAAATTCTTTAATTCCCTTTAACACGTTCGCTACTGCAATAGTACGAAATTTTCCATTCACATGGACCAGCGACGCACATATGCGACGGCCGGTTTCCACCCATGGACTGCCGTCGCATATGCGACGGCTAGTCACATTAAAATAGACTGCCGACGCATATTTGCGTCGGGGTTCTAATGTTATTAAAATGCTTATATCTTTGTAGTGGTCTATTTGAAGGCACTGAATTCCATGCAGTGGTCTACAGAGATGTCTGACGCACAACTGCGTCGCTTGGTCTGTGGATATGATGATTGGTGACGTCATATAATAGTTGGAAAAACTGGTCTTTAATTTTCTGCATCTCTGTATGTATGTATGCAGTATGTATGCTGCATTATCCTATGTAGCTTTTATATTTGTTCAGTTATAAACTGTTCTTGAATAATCTGTTTATTTCTTTACTTACTTTCACCTTAAAACACAAAAAAATGAACTGTCGCATATATGCGACGTTTAGTCTATTTCAAGAAAACTATGATAATTTTCATTATTGTCTTCGCTGTAGACCGGGCGTCGCAAATATGCGACATTTCAAAAGGTTATAAAAAAAACAAATAAACAAGAATAATTTATTTACAAACACCATTGTAGCGTATTATAATGTAAATGATCGCTGTTTTACAGGTTTTCGCCCGTGGTCTGTGTGTACTGTTATCCAAGTGACAGTCGGTCTATGTGTAAGATTCAAATGTATACCTGGGTCTGTGGCAATGACCGCGGCGTCGCATATATGCGACGCTGAACGTGTTAAATATGAATACTCATAAGGTTAACATGGGGAACTACAGAGCCACTGGGGCGGAGCTCGAAAGGAATTTTGAGATAAGAATATGCCTAAATGTTAATTGGGAATGTGAGCCATCATCATGCCAAATTTCAGCCCAATCCGTCCAGTAGTTTATGTGTGATTGAGCAACACACACACAAACTCACAAACTTTCAGATTTATAATATTAGTAAGATATGCAATTCCCTCATCTAGATCTCAATAGTTGTGAGTACCAGTTCGGTGAGTCGCAGCGCCATGCCACATATAGCCTGACACGTAGCCTCTCCGTTGTAAGAGTTGAGCCCTTGTATGGCATCTACTGAGTCCAGGTGTAGTAGCAGTTGGCTGGATAGTGAGGCCATGTCAGCCTTTCCATACAGAGTCCACAGGGCTGCCTTGTGTGCCATACTGCGATCATAACAGTGGAGTTGTCACATGAGGAAGAGAATTAAAAGAATATAATATTCAATACATGTTGAGGAAATATAGCTCAGTTCAATCCATCATAAGTCATGGGTTTATAAATTTTACCAAATAGGCTTGTATTTACTTAAAGAAGAAGTCAGAGATCTGTTAAAAATACTGTTCAAACACAAAAATGTATGATTGATTTTAGTTAATAATTGTGTGAATTCTTGAACTAATTAAGATCTTCTACTCCCTTAAGTGACTAGATGTTTTGTTTTATCTGTGGTTAAAAACAGTTTATTATATATCAGTACTTAAATATTTCAAAATAATATTTCAATTTAATAATGAAATACCTACCAACTGCTGTGTGCTGGTTCTTACCTATGAGCAACCAGGTCCATCATAGAGAACTGACAGTTCAATACATCACTTCTCATCAGAACCTGCAACATACACAGACTGCTTAGTAGTCAATCATTGACAAACTAGAATCATAGATTCACAGACAAGATACCTGTTCATATCGATTCTGATCAAAATATATATTAATAAGTTACGACTTTCTAAAGAACTCTTACACAGAAACAAAGTGCACACATTATTTTTGTATAGGCATGTCTGTTTTGAGGTTTGATTACTCCATTCTTAATTTACTTTGCTACAGAATTAAATATAAACTACTTTTAAATAACTGCGTTATAATCTTTAGCGAAAAGTTTACCAAAATTGAGAATTGAGTTTTCTAGTTAGGTAGACCTAACTACCATAGCATTATCGTGGGCTATAACATTATTACAAATAGCTAAAAGTTAAAATGCAAACATCATAGCGACACTGACGTACTTACCTCAAAAACAAGAGCTGGTTTTCCTCCAGTGGTCCCGGCAAACTGTGCGAACGACTGAAGTCCCAGGGATGTGAGATAGTTTAGGCTTAGATCACTACACTTGGATATTGACCTCTCCATCAAAATCTCCTGAAACATGACTCCAGTTCCTTTACTGCTTTTTTTAATGCCCATATTAAATAGAAAGTAGGACTTTTTCTGTCATAGGCCAATAGAAGTAAAATCAAATGTTTTTTTTTTAGAGGTTGGCAGCCTCTTTTAACCTTGCATTTGTCCTTGCATTTAACTGCCCATGCGTGGATGGTATACAGCAAAGCAAGGGGTGAACCGATACAGTACGAAGGTGAACTGTACCGATAAAATGTTTACGGCAGTAACCAGGCACCGAATCCACGACATCGCTGCCTTGGGTCCGAAGCCGTGACGCTACCGACTGAGCCACTGACTCACCTAGAGCCAACGACTCACCTCACAATTTAAATTGGTTGCAGTATTTCAACTTCCTTTTTAAACTTACAACTATTTCTTGCTGGATCATAATTTTGTTGGATTAGATATAAAAAATGAAAGTAGTGCGGGCCAACCACCTTGTTATCCTCAGTTAGTTTGTAGAGCCAAGCTTGAGCATGTTGTAGACAAACATTGTCATTGACCTCGTGAGACAACCAGATGGCCTCCTTCAATGCAGCAAGCGCTTCAGACCTATTTAAAAAATATTTAGGCTATTAAAAACTTTACATTCACTGATGTAGGTAGACTATTGCTAATTTAATAAATTGATAAACACACAAAAAAAATAAAAATATTTTGCTCCATAAGAACCAGATAGTGCCAGATCAATAGTGGGTTACCTGAAAGTAAAATTCCTCCTGTACAAATTATTAGCCTACATCAGGGGCGGCTCCAGGAATACTTTTTTGGGTAGGCCTAGCAAGGATCAAGAAAGAGTTTGATCTCAATAGTCTCAGCCTCAGACAGACTTAAAAAACAGACAAATAAAAAACTTTTTTAAAACAAAACGTTTTTAAACGCACTAAAAAGTAGAAAATAATTTTTAAATATGTGGAGAGTATAAATACTTGTAAGATTTAAAACGAAAAACTATGGGTGCATGCAATTGATAATAATACATTTAGTTCAATAGGTGAAGGTAATTGTAAATTATCTATTGCATGCACCCCACGTATTTCGTTTTAAATCTTACAAGTATTTATACTCTCCACATATTTAAAAACTATTTTCTACTTTTTAGTGCGTTTAAAAATGTTTTTTTTAAAGTTTTTTATTTATAAATTATTTATTTTTTTGTTTGGTTGTTTGAAGTTTGATCACACATTAACTACTGGTCAGATTGGGCTGGAATATGGCATGAATCATCATGCCAATGTGAGCTATGTGTGATGGGAATGTGAGCTATCAAGCTCACATTCCTATTCCCAACATAATAGACATATTCTTATCCCAAAAATCCTTCGGGCTACGCCCCAGTGGCTCTGGAGTTTTCCATGTTAACCTTATGAGTATCTAATCTATATATTAATAGGCAAGCATGTTTTTTAAAACCTTTTTTCTCAGCTTGTGCGCATCGCAGGGAAAATATACGAATACTGTTAGAAATATATAAAATAACTCCCATTCCTACTTTCTATGTAAAGTTTATTTGTGATTGGATTATAAATTTGGGACTAGAATTTTTTTGTTTATGATTTGAAATTTGGAATTCTTGATTTGACCATTGCTATCTTAAAGCTACTTGGTTATTATTTGTTGAGGTTGGCAACACTTACTTGTGTCCGAACTGGGCATGCAAGATAGCCAAGTTGAGAGCAGCGTATCTGTAGCCCTTGGCTTCTTTGTCTTGGCTAGACGTGGTGTTGCGGTCAAAGTAGTGATACAGACTGTCTAGAGCTCCGGAGAACTCTTTCACTCGAAGACAGTTCAGATAACTCAGATAATGCTACGATTTAAACAACTAGTATTAGTGTATGCAGTTTAGCATTTACTGATGCAGGCCTAGTGTAAAGGAAAGTTTTACTCTTTAAAAACCCTTGCAACATTAGATGGATAATCATTACTAACTAGGTCAAAGGGTCCTTGAAGTTAACTGTAAAAACGTGCATTTTTACATTAATACTACATACTACGGTGATGTATTTTTTAAAGAAATTACAAATAAAGATACGCGTCTATTCCTATTGCCTATTGTATTTTCAATAATTGCTCTTTGTGTGTGTCTATAATATATATATTTTTTTGTTCTAACCAGATATTTTTTTATCTGATACTCAACCCTAGGTTTCCATATACAACTCTGGAAAAGACAGAATGGTAATATAGCCAGTCTTAGTCAGATTCCATTACATGTTTTTATGCGTTTGAAAGTGTAACGGTCAAAAATAGACAACTTAAAATTTTTGACCTTATACAGAATAAAAGACGTATTAAACAAGGAGAGAGGATTGTTTTATTTATTTGGAATTATGGAAGTAGCAACAAAAGGAGTGGAAAGTTACTGGGCTAAGTAAACGTTGCCCCCTCCTCACCCCAAGATGATTCTCCTAACGGCCGCTGCCTCGCCAGGCGCTAGTGTCGGGCCTCGAGCAGGGTGGGGGAAGGCAAGAGCTAGCGGCAACGGAGAGTTCAGTGAGTCAGTCTCGTCCTAGCCACCAGCGAAGTAAGACACATCCTCCCTGGTGAGTGTATTATACCCTTTGTTTACACGTTACACGTTAGTAATACCGTAGCTACACTTAACCGCTCTTACGTCCGCCTAGACGTTCGATAACGTAATATATATTCGATCGTTGCTTTAAGTATTATTTCGTTTTCGTTAATTAGAAGAAGAATATACTTATGTTTTCATTTTAGTTTTGCATAGGGGTTATATGCCGCTTTAAGTTGTTCTGGGAACCAGGGTCGCTTCCCTGACACCCAGCGTCACTTCATCGATTTTATTTGTAGCTAGTTATAGGGCCACTATCACGAGGTTAACCCTTTAAGTTTTAATCGTTTTTGGAACCAGGGTCGCTACTCTGACACCCCGAGTCACTTGATCGACTTTAACCATTTGGGAACCAGGGTCGCTCCCCAGACACCCCGGGCCACTTGATCGACTTTAACCGTTTGGGAACCAGGGTCGCTACCCTGACACCCCGGGCCACTTGATCAACTTTAACCGTTTGGGAACCAGGGTCGCTCCCCTGACACCCCGGGCCACTTGATCGACTTTAACCGTTTGGGAACCAGGGTCGCTCCCCAGACACCCCGGGCCACTTGATCGACTTTAACCGTTTGGGAACCAGGGTCGCTCCCTGACACCCCGGGCCACTTGATCGACTTAAATCGTTTGTGAACCAGGGTCGCTACCCTGACACCCCGAGTCACAAGATCGACCTCGTTTGCCGTCGTTCGCCGTTAGCGAACGGGGCACAATCCCTCAACGCTATCTCTCAGTTTAATCGTTAGAAGGTAGGAGTTGGTGATAGACTGCACTATTTTGGGCATCGATTTAGATTCCGAACGCCCCATCGAAAACACGGTCACAAATGTACTCATTTAAGTGGGAAAGCAATGAATAAAATCTAACATCAATCTATATCCAAACCTTTGCTTTGCCCTTTTAAAAATTATAAATGAGCCCTTTGGAAAAAGCTATGACATAACCTGTGTTTTGAAACACAAAAAATCAACAAAAGTTTTAGATAAAGCCACATTTAGTGTTTATTTGTTGTTTGCAGTAACCTTATGGTGACACATGCACATATGTATTTAAAGATTGTGCACCAGGTCTACTTACAGCTTCGTAATGCTCAGGGTTAGCTTTGAGTACTTGTCTGATGACGTTCTGCAGCTGAGCAGGAGGTAAGGCCGAGCTCTCATTATTCTGCAGACCAGCCGTCTGTCGAGCGATAAAAAGTTCAGCCTGACGGCGCGACCACAGAGCTGGCAACTCTTCTGGCAAATCAGTATCCATCTGTCTGAATACAATGTAAGTGTATGAAAAAAAACAAATGTGCAAATAATGTCCCAGCATTTAACCTACATGCTTGGTTTTCTATAACAAATAAATTAGCGTTTTTTGGAATCTCCAAGTAATCCCTGGTATGAGCTATATGGTGACTGGCAAAGACCTTTGCAAAGCGAGGACTACATGTGAACTGCCATCATTAGTGAACAATCTATTTTGTAAGGTATATAAAGCTTTATGCTTAAGTTTTTTGATGCCATATAAATAAAACAAAAAATTTTTTTGTAAGTATAGAATTGTTCTTTTATTTGAAAATTATAGGATCACGAAGAATGTTTTGTGATGTCGTCAGTGGCGTAGTCAGGTTTGGAGCGCCCTGTAGCAGAGTTGCTTAAGCGCCCCCCCCCCCCTTAAACATTGAGCATCACCACTAGGTATTAGCGAATTTCCCCATAGGGAAGTAGCTATTACCGTAGGTCTCATGGTAAGACCTAGGCCCGGGACCGATTTACTTTTTCATTTTGATGTCCCCTTAGACCAAAAACACTATTGGTTCAAATTTTTATTTACCTATCTATATATTGAATTATATATATATGTGTGTCCATCCGCACGATAACTTGAGTAATTTTTGTCCGATTTTGATAAAATTTGGTTTGAAGGTGTAAGGCGGGATAAACTTGAATGAATTTGCGAACCAGAATGATCGGACTATGGGAACGGGGTTTTATGGGGTGAAAATATGTTTTTCCCATTTTTGACCCTAAAAACACAAAATTTTACAATTTCTTTCTAAACTATTTTGTAGAGCTTAAAAAAACAAATAATTTAGAATATTGAAGCCTTATTATGCTCCTAATTGCTACGGATAAAATTCAAAAAAATTTTAATTTTAAAATTCCTATGTTATTCTTATGGACTTTACCCATAACTGGACTTTATGCGTCAACTGTTGTAGTTTGCTTGTTTATGAACATATTTTGATAAAATTTGGAAAATACATTAATTTATTACTAAACTACAGTACCTTTCAACATTTTACATTTAAAAAACTTTTTTTACCCTCCCTGTTGCAGCAAACCTAAGTACTCGTTAAACTAATTCTGTTTAATAGGGAACAAATGTGATATTTTTAAGGAGACATTTTATAGTGTAAATCCAATCCAATCAGGCAAATGGAAATTCGCTAAGTCTGCAGGTTTGCTGCGGCGGGGGTATTAATTTCCCTTACAATAATGGTATTGATGATCATGTATTCAATAAGCGCCTAAAACACAAAATGTACCATACTAAACTTTTATTTCACAATATAGGCTATTACCAAACAGATTTTGGCACTCTTTTGTGTCATCAGAAGACACTTTTCGCTCGTGAGATGTACTATATTTTTGCCACACCACACCTCACTTTATGTTTCTTTTTCCAAACAAACTGCACCACCGCAAATAGCCACAACAGCATTGGCATCCATTTAAATTTAATCCAAATAAGGTAATTAAATAAATAAATAAATACACACAACTTGACTGTCACAGCCATCGAAGTATATAACACATGGTCACAGCGCACAAGAGAAGCAATTCCACACCTCACTTTTCATTAGGCTGTATGATTCACAAAACATACATTTCGTACATTGTTTACTATAGGATAGCCCTCAAAATGGTTTCCATCTGGTTTAACTGTTGAATGCGATTGCAAACAACACTGTTAACTGTTATTTTTAAATAGATGCATGAGTGTATTACTCCGCCAACACAATACAAAATTTCGGTTGTTACTTGATTTCTTTTACATTTGAAAATTCATACAAGCCGATAAAGGGGTATTTTAGTAGTATAATATAATAATAAACACATGTACAATAATAGCATTTGCCGATCAGGACTATTTTTTTTTTCGGCCAAACCAGCTGACGACTTTTATAGCCCTTTAAAAGTGTACAGCCATGGTGGAAGTAAAATACATAGGTGTGCTATTCCCGTAATTTGCTGACGTCATCCAGATTGCAAACAAAAAATCAGCTGATGTATTGCCATATAAGTATACATTTGTTTTGATTTGATTATTGTTTTTATAATTTTTCTAAAAAATGGTAAAATTGTGTTTGCAATCTGAGTGACGTCAGCATATGACGGGAATAATACACCTATGTATTTTCCTTCCACCATGGTGTACAGCTAATATCCTCAACATCAACTGATTTATTTTTTGCCTATTTGGAGGAAATAACACAAATAACTAGTTTAGCCCCGCAACGTAAGTACAGCACCTATTGAAAACAGCTGTTGTTGCTGCAGAATATGATAAAATTCAGCTTAAAATTGGTTAACAAAAATATAAATAACTTCTAAATACAGTATACATTTTTCTGCTTTATTTATTTAAAGGTGTTGTGTCTTTACAAATAAATTTCATAAATACTAAAACCCATAAATAAAGCACAGAAATATATATTTCACAATCATCAGTTAAAATTTTGTTTTGATTTGAGCAGTAGTTTTAGTTTTGTAAATTGCTACAAGTCGGGTGTTGTTCAAAAAGCAAAACAAATTATTTTCTAACTTGGTTTAATATGTTTAATGGTTTTGGTGGTTTAATGAGTAAAATATATTTTCGATTGTATTCAGTTATGATATTAATGTAACTAGGTAGTGACTCAAGAAACATCACAAAACATATAGTTCAATGGACGAGTGCGAGTGAAATCTCAGCGGCAGTATATGCGCCGCTGCCGCCGCCTGGCTATAGGCAGCAGCGAGTGCCGGGGCAACGATTAACTACCGGTATTCATCTAAGAATATTACAGTAAGGCTTAGACAAAAATTTAAAAGTTTATAATAATAATATTTGTTTTTAAAATATTTACATGTTCAGAAAAGATCTTACTTTAATTTCGTATTTATATGTACTGTAGGACTATATCAGATTTTAATATAACAGTTTCATTTTCTTAAAGAAGTCCCGCCCCCTAGAGCCTTCCGACCTGGAGCGACTGCTCCACTCGTTCCACGGTCGCTACGCCACTGGATGTCGTGCAAATCGGGATGACAAAATAGCGCAGCCAACTTATTAATAACTTTGCTAGCTAAAATTGTATAAATTGTTTACGCAAACTAACAGTTTTTCAAGCATTCAAAATTGTTTTGTAAGCCACAACAGAAGAGAAAGGTAGCAAACTTACTTGAGTTCCTGGAACAATGAGTTGGGCACAACCGGTTCGATCACAGAGCTCAGTTCCATGACGTTGCTGTCTACTGCAGGGACCTGAGGCATATGAGGAAATGGCTTGAGTACTGCCGGGGGGTGCCTCGGTGTGGAAACTGAGCTCAAGTCCATATTGACACTCTCAATCTCACTGGGCTCCTCAGGCTGAATAGGAGATTCTGTGTTCAATGTCCCGATAGATTCCAGCATAAGTGATGATCCGAACTCTGGACGGGTCCCTACAGCGGACTTGAAGAACAAATTACATCGTGGATCCAACTTCAACGACTGTTGCCCGAGCAGTACGTAATGTTTAAAGCCGAGGTAAAGACTTATAGTTTGAGAAAAGTTCAGTTTATCGAAGAACAGCATCACTCTACGTAGATAAACGCCTGTAAAATAGTACATTTTGTAATTTTATATAAGTTAATAAGTCAATTCAAATATTTTTTTTTACACATTTGCTTTGGAAATTCAAAGTTTGACTTGATTTGAGCATTTGATATGTAAATTTAAAAAGTATAGCTGTGCAATTACTTTTTTACATCAAAGTAGGTTCTATGATAGCAATAAGATAAGGCCAGCGATAACAAATTCCACTAGTTAATAAACAGAAAGAAAAATATTCTAGTGGTAGTGAATTAACAGAAAAGGTTTACTCAGGTTTAGACCTATACCTTTCCCTGTATTAACATACTTAATCACTTTATAAAGACAGTGATGAACTAGGTCTTATTTATGTACGCTATTTTCAGTTAAAAACTAATACAGTACTGACTTAAATTACAATTTAGTAAAAGGATGAGATAGTTACTTGCCTATTGGACTGCCCTTGTTGACCAAACAAGGGGACATGAGAGAGTCAATCAGTAGATGCCCCAGGTTCGATATTGCGTCTTGGATGCTTCCTACTTCATTGTGCGCAAACTTGTCAATCTCAGCCAAGAAGTTCTTTAATAAATCTGGCACAATGTAATATTTTGACGATTTCAACAAGTTGACAAGTTCTGCGTAATCCATATCAGGGCACTGTGTACAAAATATGATTTCAGATCAATAAGAGGCTATTTAGGCCTATGGTTTAAATGAAAAGTGAACATTTCATAATTCAAATGATACAGGGTGAGTTTTAAATGAGTTCCCCGCCTACTTTTTTCTACATTTCTTAAGATATCAACTATGAACCACGTCAGATTATTGTAGAGTAGTAAGTACTTCATTTTGACTGGGTATAAATTTTTGGCGCAATCTTGGATCTGCCATATTGGATACAAAGTTTTTTTTTTAACAAATGTAAATGTAGGGTTGTGACCCATCGTTTCAAACTAGATTTTTACGCTGAATACGATGCTGCAATTCATTAAAAAAAATCTTGATCCATTCTAAAGTTATGAGAACTTTTTATGGGCCCCTAACTTTATTTTTAGCCCATTTTAACATTGTGCATTCACAAACTAGTGTTGTGACCCATCATTTTAAATTTATTTTTTATGCTGAGCTCAATGCCGCAATCCGTTTTTTATTTTTATTTTTGGTTTTTAGATATTGAAATTTTAAATAAAATAAATGTAATATTTGATCAAGAATGCTTGATAACAAAATATGGATTGCAGCATTGAGTTCAGCATAAAAAAGTAGTTCAAAAAGATAGGTCATAACACCACCTTCATATTTAAAATAATTCATCACATTTAAAAATGGCGGATTCAAGATGGCGGCCAAAAAAATACATCCATCATAGCCAAGTGAAAATAGGTAAAAATGACTGGTGGTGTTACTTATCTTTATCTAGATTATTTTGAGATTATGGTCTTAGTTTGTAAATGCACAATGTTAAATAAAATGGGCTCATAACTTTAGAATGGATCAAGATTTTTTTTACGGATTGCAGCATTGTATGTCAGCGTAAAAAACTATGGGTCTGATATATGACCTCCCTCCACTATATTACAATTAATATCTACCTCTAGTTTGTGTAGAGATCGATTTAAAGTTTAATCTAGCTATCATTAAATTTAACATGCGTAGTTAGCCACATAGTCAATAAGTTTAATCATACCTGTATTAAATGGAGGATAAGCATGCAGAAGCTTCTACGATAAACAGGATATGGCATTTCAACTGGCGACTCAATCACATAATCAGGGTACTTTTTTGCTTGACGGATGGCTAAAACAGGGGAAATTTTCAGTTGGGAATAACTTAAAAAAGAAGTTTGGGCTTGGTTTGAATACTTGAATACCTACTTGATTCCTTCATCATGACCAACTACAATTTAATCTGAATTGACAGATGTGACTCAGATTTTTAGAAAGGCGACTGGTTCGTCAATCAGTTCCTTCATCGAGTACAGGGGCCTACTGACTAGGCTCTGGCGAAGTTCAGACTAAAGCCCCCCATACACGGGCGAGCATGTTCGCCAACATGCTCGCGAACATGCTCGGCGTTGTCAACAGACGGAGGAACATGCTTGGTGTTTCCAACATACGGACGAGCATGTTTGCGAACATGCTCGCAAACTTGCTCGTCGCTTGGTAGCGGTTCTTAGGCCTATTCTTGCTTGTCTTGTGCGCTGTGACTATGTGTTATATACTTTGATGGCTGTGACAGTCAAGTTTTGTGTGTATTTATTTAATATTTAATTACTTTATTTGGATTAAATTTAAATGGATGCCAATGCTGTTGTGGCTATTTGCGGTGGTGCAGTTTGTTTGGAAGAGGAAAGCAAAAGTAAGCCACAAAAAATATATGGTGTAAAAATTGGCTCAAAAATAGAAAACGGTTCAGCCATATGTCCCTTCTAAGAGAACTATTAAAATTCCATCGTTGTGCAAAAACATATCTCATAGTTTTGCTTATTCTAGCCTTTCTTAGAATTATTTAATTGTGACAAATTACTACAGAATTGATTGTACACATTTGTGTAATAATATGCAAATTTTAATTGATGAACCCTCTATTTTGGAAACTCATTTAAATTTGTATTTATTGTGTTACAAACACCAATAAATATTTTTTATTACTGTAACTGGAATACATCAGAGTATCAACACCATGATGATTACAAGTGCAATCTGTCTATTGCGGCTACTTTGTAATAGTGGTAACGAAGTAATCGTTTGGAATCGGAACTGTTACTTTGTAACGAGTCCACAAGTGTAACTGGAATCATGGTAGCGGCTACATCGATGGAATCATTTAGCCTATCTCTACCCACTGCGGGTGAGTTGCAGCAGCGAACATGCTCTCGATTGGTCGTCCCCACAGACGGCGAGCATGTTCGTGTGTCAGGGTCGCCAGGTCCGACAAGCCGAGTGCCAAGCCCAACATGCTCGCCGCGACCGATCCCAAACACGGGCGAGCATGTTCGACGCCAACACCGTCACCGTTCCAGCTTGCGAACATGCTCGCCCGTGTATGGGGGGCTTTAAACTGGTTTTGGTTCTAGGGTCCGGATGATTGTCGGTAGCGTATTGAATAATTTTATCGCTAGAGATGGGTATGAATTAAGCGTGTGGCTAAGTCGACAACGGGGTGCATCCAGGTCATAAGCTCTGCGGGTCCCATAGTTGTGCTGCATGTTTCTGGTTGAGAAGTTGTTTATATTTTCTCTCAAAAGGACTAGGGTGTTTAACGTATACTGGCTGTAAACTGATAGAATGCCAAGTTCTTTAAAAAGAGGACTACAGATGGTCGGTAGGGCCGGAGGATGTTATTAGTCCTAGCGCCTTCTTCTGCAGCAACAGCACACTCTGGGTCGCGTGGCTACCACGTACCACCAGTCCATAATTTATGTGGCTATGGAATAATGCATGGTACATTATGACTAGGTAGGGGCGTGTGATCTCATGCTTGAGTTTCCTGATCAGATATAATATTCTGCTTAGCCTAACGCATATTTTCTCCACATGGAGGTTCTAGTTGAGTTTGGAATCAATCCAGAATCCTAGCAGTTTGACCGCCTAGTCTTCGATGCCCTGTTTGAGGGTGCACGTGATGGATTGTGTTTTATCGTTATTGATTTTGAGGCGATTCAAAACGAACCATTCTTTGGCTTCATCCAGCAGAAATGCTGCCTCGGTTCTTAGGTCGTTCAGGTTGCTGTGCCTGGTCAGTAGTGTTGTGTCGTCTGCAAAGAGCAGCATTCTCCTGTTAAGGGACAGTTCATTGATCATTATGACGAACAGGACAGGGCCCAGAATCGATCCTTGGGGCACGCCGTGGTGTATTTGCCTAATAGGCCTACTATAGAAGGGTCCCTGCAGTGAAACAATTTGTTTCCTGTTTTCTTAGTAGCTGACTAATGATCTGTGGACTACTCCAGTGACGACATATTTGCCATTTGTTTGATAGGCCTTGATAGTAAACAGGATTAAAACAACTGCAACCTCGAATTCAACAACAATGTTTGTTGGTGAGCGTACCAATTGTATTTATTTCATCTATTTTGTATTCATTATATTTATGTTGTTAGAAGGTAGTTAGGTTATCCAAATGTCAAATAGGCTATTTAGGGTTGTTTGAACGATACCATCAACCGCCCGATTGCTTTGTTCAGCCATGGCAATTAGTTGGCTTCTTATTATAGGAGTTAAGACCGTCCTTCTGCGCAAGGAACAAATACAGTTCACATAAACTAACCGTTTCTATCTGTCTTGAGAATTGTTTAAGTTTCGGATTAGCAAGCAATTCATTCATCGTTCACTCATTAATTCATTAAACTGTCCACTCATATCAAATTCATTTCAAGTGTTAACAAACAGTCCTTATTTAAAATAAATTAATAAAAGTGTTGTTTTCGTTATTCCATAACATCGGCATACCACCACACGTCACAACAAAGTTTTTAATCTTAACTAAATTGCCTACTACTTTAACATAGCAACTGTATACCTGTTTCTTTCCCTCTAGGTGTAATTATAGTAAATGAGATTTGGTGCCTTGTTGACTACCGGTAACTTAACATGTTTAGCAGAAATTATTCATTTTTCGGAACCTTTGATATTATTGCATACTTTCCTGGGCCTTATTCCCTACACCCATTTGGGTCTTAGTTATTTGGATTTTATAGAGCTTTAACTTAACAGTCTCATCTTATTGATTAATCATCAGTAGCCTATCCTAGAATACACAGATTCAAAGTGAGAAAATTTTATAAATAACTAGCTGGTCCGACAGACGTCATCCTGTCCTATTGTGGTTTTATGTCACATGCTCGTTCACTTTCAAGATGAGCTCGTTCGCATGGCTCAATCACGTCCTGGTTGAAGTTCGTTCGCTACGCTAACTCGCCTCCAGGTTGAAGTTTGTTCGCTACGCTCACTCACCTTTTGGTTGCAAATTAACTGTTCTCATAAATTAAAAATAAATATAGTGCTGCACCCTGTTGGTAAACCTATTAACTTTTTAATGCTATTGAACATCACAGAATCAAATTGTTTAGTTGCACCAGCTGTTAAGATTCTTTAATTCCATTTAAATATGAGTACTCATAAGGTTAACATGGGAAACTCCAGAGCCACTGGGGCGGAGCCCTATTGACGGATCTGCACCAAACTTCACACAAACCATCCTTGAATAATGCTTAATAATGCCTGAAAGTTTAATTACAATCTGTCGAGCGGTTTTGGAGTCCATAAAGGACAAACATACAAATATACAAACATACATTGGATTTTATATATATAGATTGACACATGGTTTGTTATTTACACTACCTTCTGCTTTAATGTTACAGTACTCTTGAATCAAAATTACGACAGATATTTTGTGGGGTGTAATATGCTCTCTAATGGATTTCTTTGAAAGTGTACCGCCAAACCAGGAATCTTTGTTGGTAATTTTGTCCATTTTAATTAGTCTGCGGGTGTAAGCTTTGTTCTCGGGTGGGTAATAAAACTTTACAAAACGACAGAATGCTTTTAAAAGTTATAATCACTAAATTATGGATAATAGGCAGTCACAACGTCTTGAAGACTGAGGTTAGACACTCCTTTTCAATTGACAACCGAACCGAATACCGAATAAAACTCCAAAACTCCACAACCAACGATGAACGAACCAAGATTCAAGATTTAAAAAAGTTAGGTTATGTCATGTCCGATGTCATCAATCAAATCACAGAAAACATAAATACAGCCGACGCTAGTGACTGTTACGGGTACGGTTAGCTGGCCTTGATTAGACCATGAAGTCAAATTCGCACTTTGATTAATTCATTGGTTATTGTCATTAGATTGGTTATTGTCATTAGATACCTAATTCAGATTTATAGCATATGGTATTGCCTAAGGGAGTATGTTTTATCTATGGTATTGCATTCTGTGGTTGCCACATAGTTTGGGATTAACTTAACCCAATATCTATGACAAATATAATTTTGTTAGATAAAATTGACATAAACATGTAACAATTTTTAAGACATTTCGTTTGCACGAATATTGTGTACAATAAATATTTAAAATTAAGGCATGTTTATAATTTCCAAAAAAATGAAAAAAAACTATCAAAATGGTAAGGACCTTAACATGTTAAATCAAAACCAGACATTTTTCGTTATTTTATGGGGTTTTTATGGGAAAATAACATAATTTACAATAATTGTAAATTATGTTATTTTATTACTTTTGAACCGTAATTTTTACAGAAATGGGATTTGTACCTTTTTGTTCAGGATTTAAATGGCTACACAACATAGGTACTAAATTTTTATCAAAATCGTTCGGGCCATTTTTTAGAAAATCCGATTTTTCCGGTTTGTTATGGGTTTTATGGAAAAATCCCCATTAAAAATCAAAATGAAAAAAATGAAAAAAAAACGCCTGGAGATACCATGGATTAGAACCTACATACCAAATTTCATCGAATTCGGACCACAGGTGTAGTCCGGCCCTAGCTCTGTACACATACAGACACACACCGACATCACTTCGAAAACCACTTTTTTGGGTCCAGGGGGACCCAAAACAAATATATCCACTCAAACTCGAAAATTTTGACGAAAACAATACTTTCTCCATATACGTCGTATAGGGGGAGAAAGTAAAAATAGACTCTAGAAATAAATTAAACTTGAAGGGAATGAAACCCTAAATGAAACTATGTTCTTTTAAATTACCATTCGCACGTGCCCTAGATCATAAACTTTAAAATAAAAACACAGCCGTAAAAATTGATTTAGTAAGTCGGATGGATAAGCATGTTACAGCTGGAGCTGATTGACGTTTTGGTAAACCCCAGGTCGAGCTTTTGTTTTAACTTTCCGTTTTCAATTTGGTGATATTGTCACCCTACTTCACGAAATTCAAGCAGGAGTTCCCCGAGGAAGTGTATTGGGCCCTGTTCTCTATACATTGTTCACGGCGGACCTCCCTGAAAGAAAACTTAATGTCGAACTTCGCTGATGATACTGCTATAGCCTCTCATGAAAACCCTGCGATAGCTTCACAAATGTTGCAGACTGGACTCGATGGTTTCTCCGATTGGATAAGAAAATGGGGGATCCAAGTAGGGTAAATGAGAGTAAATCTGTCCACAACCTTTACAACAAGATTAGACACGTGTCCTCCAGTTACCCTAAATAATGTTCAAATCGCACAGAGCAATGAAGTTGAAGCTAAATACTGGGATATGACCCTTGACAGAAGGCTTACTTGGAAAAGCCATATCTGGAACAAGATAATTTCGTTAAATTAAAAATTTATAAATCTTTGTTGGCTATTAAATAAAAAATTAAAATTAATAGCAGCAAATAAATTGCTATTATATAAAACTATTCTGAAATAAGTGTGGACGTACGGTATCCAACTGTGGGGGACATCCAGCAAGTCAAATCCGGATGTCATCGAAAGATTCCAATCTAAAGTTCTAAGGCACATTCTCCAGGCACCATGGTTCGTTTAACGAAGTGCTTCACAGGGACAGTCGAACCCCAACGGTCAAAGAAGAAATTACAAGGTTAAAAAATGCCAAATACAGAAATTAGAGTACCATTAACTACCTTGCTTTAAATTTATTGGACGAGAACGAAGAACGACTTAAGTTGTCTCTTTTAGGAATTTATGGACTTTAAACTTTGTACCAAATATGCAAAGTTTGTGTGTTCTAGCTTTATTTTTGGATTAAGACTAAAATTACTGTATTAAAATTTTAATATTTGATTTGCTTATTGTTCTATTTTTGTTGAACAGATTGTAAATAAAATAAAATGTAAAAAAACCCTTCCGTGCTCTGCTAAGCCACTACGGCCACCTTTAACTCCAGGCCGCGGCCTTCGAACTGGCAACGTCGCAAGTGGTGTTGTAACAGCTGTTTTTGTTTGGAAGCAACTAATGGTATTTCTGTATTTACGAAAGATTGGTTACTGAACTATGACAATATTGACTCCGCTTAAAATGTACAGATATATATTTGAATTCATATTGTTTCAATTTTCAATTCTGTATGTTTTATTTTCAATATTTAAAAAAATTTATATTCATAAATTAAAAATTAAATCAATTAAGTGCGAATTAATGAGCTGATGCACGCCGATGTCACATGTCTGCCATGTTATCTTATGGGACGTCTGTCACTGAACAACACCACTTGCGAGGTTGCCAATTCTACAGGCCGCGGCCTGTAATTAAAGGCGGCCGTGGCTAAGCTGACTCGTGGGGTCCCAGTTTATCGACATCCCAAAAGATCGACACTGAAATAGTCCCATAATGTCGACAACTCAAAATGTCGACAGTGTCGGTAATATGGGATGTCTGTAAAGTGGGATGTCGGTTATGTGGGATGTCTGTTATGTGGGACGGTTGTGTAAATTTTCCCACTTTATCGACACGCAAAATGTCGACAAGCAAAACAGATCGACAAAGAGCGGGAGATTCAAATTGAAGGTGAACAGCTCTTGCTGAACAACTCGGTTGAGTCCAGAATAAGAGTCGTTCTTTTTTAAACTCCGAACGACTTCTATCCACGGCGCCTGCAGCTGCAGTCTCCTTCAAATTTGTCAATGCTATTTCAACTATTTTGTGTATATCAATTGTGTTCTGCCGTTTGAAGGCTTTACAATAATTTGTCATTTTTCACACTTGTATTGTGATTTATTATACTGTTTTTTTTTTCGTGCAAGAAAGTAGTTAAAACTTGCTATCTAGGCCAAACTTTGCTTGAGGATAGTTAGTTATGGTATCCATCCAACGATTTTTCAATCAGAAATTAATTTGAAATTTATAATGGAAATACATAGTTTTCATTTAACTTAATAGCTTAGTGTTACAAACAGATTAACCCAAATAACGATTTTACGTTGTTCATTGTTACACTTTGAAATATTAAATGAGTTGTAGTACATTTGTATCGGCAACTTACACCGGAAATGAGGAAATGTAAAAACTGCGTTAATTTACCTAAACAAACTGCAGATGCATTGATTCTTTTGTTAACCTTTCCATTGCCAATATGGCGATCCATAAAAAGTAATGACAACATAACATTTTGCAAATATCTTTCCAAACTATTTTGTAGAGTTAAAAAACAAATTATTTAGTATATTGAAGCATTATTATGCGCTTACTGGTTACGGAGAAAACTCGAACAGTTTAAAATCCCTATGTTTAATCTTATGGAGAATAAGTAAACTGTTGTAGTTAGCTTGTTTATGAACATATTTTGATCAAATTTTGAAAATGCATTTATTTCATACTAAACTACATGTAATAACATTTTTTAAACCTCTTTTAAACCCTACCTGTTGCAACAGACCTAAGTACTTGTTAAACTAATGCTATATTTAAATTAGGGAATAATTTTGTGATATTTTTAAGGAGATGATGTAAATCCAATAAAGCAAATGGAAATTCGTTTAGTCTGCAGGTTTGCTGTGGAGGGAGGGGGTATTTAAAATAAATCATAGAGTTGTAACAGTATTTTCAAACACACAAACCACTACTTGTAAACTGTAATGGCTGCTTAGGAAACGTAAACACCTTGTCTAAATGCAGTTGGTATAAAGAAATAGTATATGCCTACTTACTGTATTTGGTTACTAGAGTATTCTAGCCCGGTAAGGTGTTTCACCGAAGGCGTAGCCGAGTGCGGGATTTTCGTGCGAGTATGGTAGCTATAGTACCGGGTGAGTAACACGATACTTTACATCATACTACACAGAAAAATCAGTACATATTTAACTCATTCATAACACAATTTATTTAGGACAGAACATATATTATATTTCAAAAAATAAAATAGGCCGCTAAAATTAGCTGTTTATTTCAACAGCAACAGCTGACTAAGTACACGGGAATAGTATATTACGTTACTAGTCCTGAAAATAAGTGTTTACCGGACGAGTGTGGTCGTTCCCGTGCGAGACGAAGTCGAGTACGGGATTATCATACGAGTCCGGTACACACATTTTGGACGAGTTGCGTACGACAGTTTACGCCATACTACTAAATCCCTACAAATCCTTATTATATTTCCACCAACTAAAGGACTAAAAATCCCTAGTAATAACCTCTAAGAGAGGTTATGTTTTTGTTTATAACCATTCATTGCCACCTAAATACAGTATAATCAGCTGATTGGTGTCCGGTCGGTAATAGTATATTACGTTACTAGTCCTGAAAATAAGTGTTTACCGGACGAGTGTGGTCGTTCCCGTGCGAGACGAAGTCGAGTACGGGATTATCATACGAGTCCGGTACGCACATTTTGGACGAGTTACGTACGATAGTTTACGCCATACTACTAAATCTGTACAAATCCTTATATATTTCCACCAACTAAAGGACTAAAAATCACTAGTCATGAGAGGTTATGTTTTTGTTTATATATCTCAATGTTTATAACCACTCATTGCCACCTAAATACAGTATAATCAGCTGATTGGTGTCCGGTAAAACTCATTACAGTACAGTAGTACGCAATGAAACCCCATTTGAATAAGCTGGCGGCAAACAGCTGTTTTCTGGACTAAATCCTTGCGTGGGAAGTTCGTCAAAATAGTGTAGTGTGGCGTAAAACTCATTGCAGTACAGTAG